TGGTGCATGGTGTACATTCTGCAAAGAAATGAGGGACATATTGAATTAATAAAAAAATTCATGGTTAGAATTGATTAGTGAAAATAAAAAATAATGAACATATCACAAAATTCCAGCAAAACATTCCACCAGCAATGGTCACTGAGCATAGAGTACTAGCAAAAGATTTTGGAAATCTGGAGATTTCAAAATACTTTATCCATTTGAATCACTGGCCTACTTTTCCTTTTATTCTAGGGATGGGTGAATCTGTCAAGCTGTTGAGGTTCTAATTTTTCCACCTCTTGGCTTGTCCTATGCTATTTCTACATTAGATTTCACAATTCTTTTCCCCATTCTCAGCTCCAGAAATTCATACATGTTTGTATTTTTCAAAATAAACACATTTTCAAAGATTTGAATTTGAATTTTGGAGGTATTGTTCATTGACTAGAATATATTAGTGCACATTTTTTTTAAAAAAACTATCTTTTTCTCTGTGCATTTTTGCAATGTGCACATGTCTCTCTAGTCATGAAGTCCCTAGAAGCTGGAATGCAGATATTGAAAACCTCATGGCAAATATGGCTAGACAGAAGTTACAATTTATAATAATGTCCATTATATGGTAATGGTGGTAGCAGCAAAGTTTACTTTTCCACTGGCATTGTATCCTCAGTGCAGAACTTTTTAAAGTGCAGTAAGTGAGCTGCTTAAGAGTCCTTTCAGAGGTTACTGAGCCAATCATTCAGTAGTCTGTTGTAACAAATTGCAATGAATTTTGAGGATCAAGTCACCAGCATTCATGCTGAACTAGGTGCCACAGTTTGTGCAGGAGAGACAGAGATTATTGGGGAACCATCTGGTCAGAGGCTGTGGTATCACTTTCAATGATTGCGATCTGAGAAATTGGAGAGGAGGCATGAAGGGTTTAGGCTACCCCCTAGATTCCTTCATCTTTGTCTGTCTTGGCTGATAACATCTAGGGATTTAGTGGATGGGTTTGGTTAATGCTTCACTCCAGGAATCATGGATGCCTATTGCTTTTAAAGAGGTTCTGTCATGGCCCACCTTAAAAGGCAACCTCTGGACTGAGATGCTGGTCACCAACTACACGTTTTTAAGGTAAGTTGATAGAGGCAGTGGCGGCCCGTCACTGCTGGAAAAAGCAGATTATTTAGCTCTGATTCAGCTCTGAAACCAGAGCCAAGAGCTTGCATTCGGAGAGGTACACGGATCACATAACTACATCTCTGTAGCTACATCTCTCAATGCTATCCCGAAAAATACCTGCTTTGTAAGCCATTTTCATGCTGTCAGAAAGCAAGGGATTCAGCAGGGATGTATTCAGCTATTTTTATTTAATTGAACACACTGCAAAAAGCATGAATCTTCAGGATGTTCCTGCAGATGGTGTCCTTGCAGTGCATCCAGCTAAAGGAAAATAGCTGGACAGGTCCCAGCTGATTGCCCTGCTCTCTGACAACAAGGAAATGGCTGCATTAGGAGGTCTGCACTGCTTACAAGTTGAATTGGGGTAGATTTTGGTTATTTCATTGTCACAGCAGAATTTTGACCTCCACAGTGCCCTAAAAAGTGAATTCCAATGGCATTAAAGATAAAGGTTTTCCCTTGACAGGATTGTCTAGTTGTGTCCAATTGTAGGGGGCAGTGCTCATCATTGTCAAAGATGACTCTGTGACCATGTGGCCAGCATGATTGTACAGAATGCTGTTACCTTCCCACCAAAGTGGTACCTAGTTATCTACTAGCAGTATTACATGCTTTTGAATTGCTAGGTTGCAATTGTCAGAGTCAGCATCTTAACCACTGAGCATTACATCCTCTTTCTTATGTCATCATAATTTACTAAGAAGATACCACCTTGGTCAACTTGATTCATGACCTTTATTGGAAGAGAGACAAGGGTTGATATGTAGTTGATTCTTCTTGGCCTCTCAGTGGTAATCAACACTGTTGTTGATGATATCCCTGTTGGAGCAAACCTGTGGATTGCAGGGAGGGGTGGAGGTACTGTGTCATATTGGTTTTGCTTCTACCTGAAGGGTCAATACTAGAAAGTAGGACTGATGAGTTTCTGCTCAGCTCCATGGCACTTGTACATTGGAGTCTTATAACAGTTTAATATCTATATGAAGCCACCTGGAGCTGTCATCCCAGGATTTGGGACAGAGTGTCATCAGTATGCTGATAGCTCTGATTCAGAGCTATTCAGTATCAGTCAAGAGAAGCTGTGCAAGTGCTAGGCAGGTGCCTGGAGACATTAATGGACTGGATGAAGTTTGAAAAAGTGAATCTTGAGAAGGCAGAGGTGATGTGGGTAGGTGATAAAGAAGTCAATGATTTACAGTGATGGCTTGTTCTGTGTGGGTTGCACTCCCCCAAAAGTGAGTTATCTGAAGTGGTCTCAGTGGTAAGGAGGTTGCCCATCTTTGTCTGGTTTGCCAATGGAAAACTTTTTTTGGACTAGCATAGCCTGGTTCCTATACTCTGATAGTCACATACACTTATTATTACATACTCACATACTCTGTTACAATGCATGCTAACTAGGCTATCCTTGAACACAGCCCAGATGATGTAGCTGATATATAACTATTAAATGGGATAGCTAAGAGCTCTGGTGGTGCAGTGGTTAAATGCCTGTGCTGCAGCCAATCACTCATAGGCCACAAGGTTGCGAGTTCAATACTAGCCAGGGTTCAGGCTAGACTCAGGCCTGCATCCTTCTGACGTCGCTAAAATGAGTACCCAACTGTTGGGGGGCAATGAGCTTACAGTTGTAAACCGCTTAGACATTCCATAGCGCGATATGAAGTGGTATATAAATGAAGCTGCTTTAAGTGCATACAGAACTGGATGTTTACCATCTAGTAGGCCCAGTTCACATGACGTAGGATTCAAATATGCACAGGAACACCTCTCTCAGTACCAACCATGGTTTTAAGACTGATTGGGAAGGCCCTGCTTGAGATCTTAAGAGTGTGCTTGGCCTGTAGTGTGGTAAGACTAGTAGCTTTCTAAGTACCTCTATGACTCATAAAAAATTAACAGAAGACATAAACAACAACAATTCTGCTTAAAGCCCTGGTGAGCCATTGTCTGTCAATGAAAATAATTCTGATTGAGATGGACAAATCTCTCTGAAATAAAGTAACTTCTTTCCCACTTTTAGGGTGCATGAAAAAAAAGTGCAAGTGTGCATTCAGTTCTAGTCTGGGCAGAAGGGATGTGACTCAGCAATCAGAATTATAAGATGTTCGTTCTTTCAACCAGCATCACCATTAAGGCTAAACCCCTCACTATCTTGAGCAGGAAGAGTAGAGAAATGTTGTTCAGTTGGGGGATCATTCTGTTGATTTCCTCAAGGATAATCTGGCAGGGGCTGCACTCCAGCCATGAGCAAGATCAGAGATCGCTCTGGAAAAAATGGGTGGGGTTGTATAACTGTTCGATTTTCTCTCTCTTGCTCATTCTTCCTTAGCCTCCCCTTCTCTGTCTTTTTGTTTCAAACCAGTGGATCTCATGAAATCTGGCATAGGTGTTTTATGCCAGTATCGACACAACGTAATGACCAGGCAGGTTCCTCCCACTGCAACATTATCTATTGGTGAGGTTTAGTCCCTTCAGAGCCTATTTCTTTTTCCAATTGATAAATTCCATTTGCTAAACTCATAGCTCTCCACACTATGATCACATCACTCCTAATGATCACATGTTGGAAGTTTTTTTGTCTTTTACACTGCTTCATCTTAACTCTAACAGTACTTCTTCCTGATCTCTCCAGATCTGCATATGTGCTAAGGTAGACTTTTTTGTTTTGTTTCCAGTCTCCTTCTTTCTTTCCTATCTGTTTCCTGTGGTATGATGTCCCGAGTCTAGAGCACCTACCTCCACCCTGGTCATCATTTCTCCCTTTCTTCTCTTTTAAGTTTTATAATCCGTTTATAAGTCAGTCAAGGGCTATGTTCAACCTGATGTGAGAAACTGGAATTTCTGACCATATTTAGTTCACTTTTAAGAAAGTATCAGTGTGGAGACTTATTCTGAATAAACAACTATAATATGAAAAGCATCATTGACTAAACCCCTACACATGTTCATGTGGAAGTAACTCCCCAAAGTCAATTTGACTACTTCACAGAGTACACTATATGACAAACCTTGGTTTGTATCAATGCACACACAGGGTGGAACTTGGGTCACATCTCCCCAAATTATTTTTCTACTTTGAAGTTAGTTTGCAGCAGCTGCAGTAAGCTGAAAATGTAGAAAGAAGTCAGAAAAACTGGGACATTTTGAAAGAAGGTGAAGAACAGAAGCTGTAGACGATTAACCAGGATTTCCCCTGCCAAATGGACAGTTTGAGGGGATGAGATTTATCATATTCTCAGCATACATTTTTGGGAGCACCCTAAGTGCTTTAGGATGTACACTTTAAAATGTTATATGTGGTGTGGCCTTTGTAAATGGTGTTGGAGAAAGATGAAAGTGTGTGTGTGTGAAAGAAATCCAACCATCCTTTCCTCTTCAGATATTGGCATGTGATTCAGTTTATACCCCACCTCACAGGGCTATTGTGGGAATAAAGTCCCACTGAAAAGGAAAGACGGGTTAGAAATGCAGTAGAAATAACAGGATGTACTATGCTTTTTATCTTTAAAAGAAATCTTTCAAATATTGCTTTAAATTGTTTTCACTTTCTAATTTTAAGTGAATGGTTTGCTGGTTTGTTTTTTAAAAAAACTTTGGCATACTTTGTTTTGATTTGCTGTAAGTCCCCTGGGGCCCTGTGCTGGGAGAAAGGTGTGATAGGGATTCAATAAATCAGTCGTGGTGTTGCCTATGGGTTTGTTGTTACTGTGTGCCTTCCCTTTCAGCCTATGACAACCCTAAGGCAGACCTACCCTAGGGTTTTCTTGGCAAGATTTGTTCAGAGGCCTCCCTCTGAGGCTGAGAGAGTGTGACTTGCCCAAGGTCCCCCAGTGGGCTTCCAGGGCTGTGAGCAGGGGTTTGAACCCTGGTCTCCAGAGTCATATTCCAACATTCAAATCACTGCACCACTGGACTGTGGGTGCCTTCTGCTTCAATGGCAATCCTCTCCTTGGTTTGGCTAGCTCTGGATTGCCCCCTTGGGGAGCAGCACTCACTTTCCTGGTTGGGAGAGCATCTTCTCTCTCTCAGCCTTGGCCTTGGTTCCAGCAGCTGTGCTTGGAAAAGTCGCTGCAAAGCCAAGCAGCTACTGCTTTAACAACAGCGCGCGACGCCATCTACCGGCCAGGCGCTGCAAGTTCAGCCTCCCTTTGCCTCTTCTTCTCTTTCTGCAAACTCAGGGGTTTCCTTCTAGGGTTGCCACAGAGGATTCCTGTACTTTCCATGGTGGCTTAGAGGCGGGAAATTCAGCAGGTGATGCTCCCTGGTTGCGGGACAAGGAACACCTGCTGAATTCCCCTCTTCCACCCAGCCATTAAAAAGAGGCAGCTTCCAAGCCTGGCAGCTCTTCTATAAGCTCCAGTCTTATCCTTCCAGGGAAAACCAGAGCAGTTTAAGGCCTTTGCAGACTGCCAGAAATAGTGCACATTAAATTGAGGCACTGCCCTGGCTCAGTGCTAGGGAATCATGGGAACTGTAGTTTATTGTGGCACCAGAGCTCTCTGACAGAGAAGGCTCAATGTCTCAGAAAAAAAATACAATTCCCATGATTCCCTAGCACTGAGCCAGGGCAGTGCCTCAATTTAAAGTGCACTATTTCTGGCAGTCTGCAAAGGCCCTAGTCAGAATGGTGCTGGCCTCGCCTTCCCCGCTTCTTTTGGTGCCCACATCTACACCGCAAAAATAATCCGGGTTGACACCACTTTAACTGCCATGGCTCCATGTTATTATGCACTCTGGTCATGGTAGTTTGTTGCGCCACCAGAGCTACCATGCCCAGAATTTCATAGCATGGAGCCATGGGGTGTCAAACCGGATTATTTCTGCAGTGTGGATGCAGCCCATAGCCGACGCGTCCTTCTCTGTTGTTGTCGTCTGCTTTCAAGTCGTTTCCGACTTCTGGCGACCCTGAGGCTGACAAGTTTCTTCAGAGGGTCTTTGCCATGGCCATCCTCTGAGGCTGAGAGAGTGTGACTTGGCACAGAATTCCTCACCATCTTTTGTCACTTTCTCCACGCCTTTCTCCTCCTCCATCATGGAAGGAGAAATTAAAATGGCACTTTGGAAGAAGTTGAGGAGAAATGAGGTGAAACGCGGGTTTCCCGAGTTCTCACAAACATTTATATATATATATATATATATATA